TCTATTCAAAAACTTATCTCGTCAGGCTTTAGGGAAGTATATGACGCATTATACTCCATACAATTTTCAGAAAAATCAACGATTTCAACAGAAACAGCATTTTACAGGATGACGCATTTTGCATTTGTGTGGGAAGATTAGCGGTAAAAAATATTTTAAATGCCGTAAGTATTATTGTGTGCAGCCGTTGATGGTCTCTTCTCACTTGAAGAAAAGCGACAGTTAAACAACGAAAGTTGTTCTCAATAAAACGAACCAAAACCGCATTTTTTCATTCTGTTTGCATGACTAATCAAAACTTTTGGACAATAAAGAACCACTTATTGTCTCCTTTATTCGATTTACGCGTTAAAACGTTAGTATAAAAATACAATTTTAATAATGAAATCGTGCACAACCACTTGAATATTTGTGTCAATATGCCTGAATAATGATAAGTGCATTTATTTATCTTGTGTTCAATCCTTTACAGGCATTGAATGGTCCTTCGAGCTGAATAGTGTAGTCTAGAAAGTTCGAATATGATATTGATCTTTGATTTCATGATATTGATATTGCGTTACAAAATATCTCTTTTTTGCTGGTAATCGGTTTTTCTCATGTACAAAGTGAGTTAGTTCAGTGAATAAAAGCTAGATTTTAAAAACTTATGAAATTACTTCGTAAATTTAAACACAATAAAAATAGCTTATTTATTAGGATCAGCGCTAGGTATATAAAATAGAAGTTTGGCCGCAGTATGTCTAACAATAATCAAAACTTGCACAATAAAAAAACAACAAGAATTAAAGTAATTTAAGGAAAACTACACCAAATAAGCTGACAATATTGACTAGATGTTGAGATTTAAAATCGCAAATATTTTATACAATGCACTATTGAGCAACCCTATATGCAAAAAATATTACAAAAAATATTTTACTTAAAATTTGTGATATCGTAGATTCGATTATTAATAATTAATTAATTCATATAATTATTAATAGTAATTACCCGTTAGCAATTCACAGAGGAAAACCCTTTTTGTATTGTAATTGAATGTAAAAGTACGAAACAAAATTGGACAAATTTAAACCGAGTTGAAAATACATTAATTAACCTTTAAACTCCCCAAACCTTGACAAATAAAAACGGTTTTGCTCAATGTAAAATTAACAATTATTGATTTAAAAAATATTAATGTAAAAAATAGTATCTGCCACCCTGTTTCATAAAAAGCGAAAATTCCTTTATTCTAATTTTGCCTTAAGTGTTTTTTTCTGATTTGCATTATACTGCAATAAACTCAGCCTCAGTCTCAGCCTGTAGAATGTTTAAGAACCATTTTTAATTTTTTTCTTAGTAGTGGACTTTTAGTGATTATGATAAAGGAACAGAAAGTACTCACTAACAACTGATTTGGTTCTGCCTTTCATTTTTCTATTATTGTGCAATAATTGGCTAACCACAAAAAAATCCTTGGCAGTTTCGATGTGAGTCCAGTTTCTTAAAAAGACAATTTTATGGTACTGGCTCTTGCACTGAAAAAAGCGAACAACCGACGCAAATGCTATGATAAGCATTTATTTTTTCTTCTAGTCACGAACAAGGCTTGAGAGTTTTGCCCAAAAATTGATTTTTTTGTAATATCTATAAACAAATTCGCACAAATAATTGGAAAAATTGCGATGTAATATTACGTATAACTTAAGCCCGCATTAAAAAATCCATAAACAACTTAAACGCATAAAATGCAGCTTACACTCAACAATATAAATCTCGGTTATTTCCACTTTATTGAAAAATTATAATTATTAGAAAATTTCTATTTTCCATTCAAAGCATGAAACGTACATGTATTATAAGTAGGAAATTGATCTATTCATTTGCATGTATACACGTAACAATATTGGTGTACAAACAGCTAAATATAAATAAACAATGATTTACATATTTCGTGATACATTGTTGGGAACATGCCACACGTTAAGAAATAAGTGAAAGCGGCTATGGCATAAGACTTTAGGTATAAGCCAAAATAGTGCCTTATACCTACGCAAAATGCCAACAACATAACTTCAATCATACATACATAATACCTGGTTGGTATATAATATGGTATGATCTACGCCCATATTTGGTATGAACAGACCCACTTGCCTGGTTATATACCTACTATATTAGTCATCCAAAATTTGCGAACGAAACAAAATGCGACCTTAAAATTCCATATTGAACATCCAGACCAAAAGAATGTTTCTATAACTTTTTAAATGAAACCGTCTTTTCTAACTTTTCTAATGAAGACGATAAAAGAAACTGAAAACTGACTAGTTTGTGCTTAAACAACGAAAAATAAGCATCACAAAATGAGGAAAGGGTGACACGACGAAAGGATGAAGTTTAGGCACGACTGATACTTAACGAAAAAACATAACATAAATTATATCAAATGTTACCAAAACGTACTTAAATTTACCAAGCAAAATTAGCAAAGAAAAGTGTAGCGACAGTGAAATAAAAAAAATAATAAAACACATACACATTATTGCTTTTGGTAGACATGTTTTCAAAAAAAAGCATGTAATAGTTTGGTACATAAATTCCACAAAATTACCTCAATAACTTAGGCCTGTGATAAGAGATTAATATGCCGAAACATTGATAATGCACTCGCAACATTATGCAACGCGGCATGCAACTATTCAAGTGGTATTTTATGGTCGTTATAAATCTACAGTTAGTAGGTGAACAACTCCCATTTTTTAAATTCTTCAAGTTCATCGTTGTTTAAAAAGCAACGAAAATGGGGACAAGACGAAAAAGGATCGTTTATTCAATTAGAGTGTTGTGTCCGAAAAAGCTACCCGTGTCTTCACAACCCGGTTCGAAATAAAAGCCAACATTAGCTTAAGTACTTTAATACGCAGACAAAACACTCCGAACAACTGAACAATATATAAAAAACCCACAAACAATAATGTGGTAACTAAACAAAGAACCTGAATACCATCCCACCCTGTGCGCATATGTTTCTTATCATTTTTACCACCCGCTTTCTCGGTCTACTGACCCACTAACGGGACCCATAGAGAAAGTAAAATAATTATTTACTTATTTTACTTATTCTATGACGGGACCTTTTAAAAACATTTGACTCGACAGAGGTGGAGGGCTGATTCTTGACAAGGGTGAATCTTAAATGCCTTTAACATAGAGAAACGACCCGAAGAATGTTTTTTTCCTGCACTGAAAATTTGTAGGTATGTATATTTAATTCCCAATGTAAACGAGACTTAACACACACAAATTATAAATATGTATATGATAATTAGAAAAAATTATACTACTACAATGTATTTAGTAGTTTGAATATACATTTTTCATGCAAATTTTAATTAATTTTATAGGAATTTTCATATTTCTAAACGGAAAGAACTCTTGTGCGCTCAAAGCCATGACGATAAACTTTCAACTTGGACATTGAAATCTTCGGTAAATGGCAAGTGAAAAATAATTAGTTCTGAAAACAATCGAATCACGAAAACTACAAAATCTAGGTCACATCATGCGAAATTGAAACAGATGTAATCTCATGTAATCCACAATGCAGGAAAAGTGAAAGGAAATAGAAACGTAGGAAGTAGAACAATCCATTGGTTAATGAATTTGGGAACCTGCACAAGATTCTCTATAACAAAGCTGTTTAGGCTTGACTTAAAGTTTAACTTTATTCCGATAAAGTCTGAAATAAACAATTATGATTTAAAAGCAATATTATCTTAGCAAGTAAGGTGACAAAAATGATACAATCTTCTGAATTAGAAAATATTTGAATTTACTTGTCTTCGTTTTGAACTTACAGCAGATTATCAGGGAAGCACGTAAACTAAGTTTTTAAAAAATCATTCAAACAATGTGGGCTTATGCGTATTACCCAAACCAAAAATCGCCTGCAAAGATAAGAACAGCTCAGATATTTAGCCTATCAATTCTTTACTTACTTGAATGTAAATCACAGTTATTATCATAATGAAAAGCGAGATATTTGCCACATAACTTACGCACGTAAGGAAAATAATTTCATTTTGCTACTGATTAGGAAACTGGTCGTAACGAGTCAGTTTTGTCCGGTTATCCATGCTAATTTGCGATGTTTTTTTTTTAATTGTTTCTGTGTTTAACGCGTATTATATAAAAGGTCAAATTTCAATAGAAAATTCAAATTTTTTAATAGGGTTTGGCGAATTGAACCTTAAACATTTATTAAACTCAACTGTTTTTAAAAACGTATTTGCATTTGCATTAAAAATATTTCTGTTTGTTAACATAAAATAATTTTCAACTCTACCAAACTGAAGCAAAAATTCGAGAGTGAAACATTAGGAAATACATTAATTTCTACCTCCAAAGCTCATTTTAATTCACTAGTATTGATGTAGGTACGTCATAGACAAAAATTACTTTACAAACATTTAAAACACTATCCGTACCCTTGAAACTGGTAGCAATATTTCATCTACGTACATTTTATGATTCGTGAATACAAATTGTCTCTAAAAACAGGTACAAAGTTGCGTAGGATTAATTGTTCAATTTAGAAGCCAACAGGAAGCCGACCATTAATGTTTCGCGTTGCTAAAATATTAAAAAGGCATAGGAACCGTAAATATACAATGAGGAAGCTGCATTGACCTTAGACTGCCAAATTTTCTAATTATGCGTAAGAAAAAAAGTATTTCGGATTATTCGTATGCTAAAATTTATTTCAACTAAATTTTCTAACTAAAAAAACTAAAAAACTAAAAAGTGTTTTATTATATTTTTTTAATTTTTCACCATTTTTGACTGTACTGTACGTACTTTATGTTGTTTTGATTTGATAAATAGTAACAATGCAGTAGAAAATAAATGATAAAAAACAAAAAAGACCGCATGAAAGAAGACACTTTCGAGGAACTAAACCTTTTAAAACCGAAGCCCCATTACCTAATAATTTAGTAATTCAGAATAGAAAACAGTTGTAAATAAATTATTATTTATTGTAAAATGAAGTAAAACTTATGTAACAGTAAAGTATATAGTCCGGGAGACAGGGGTCTTTTTGACCTAGTCATTTCATGCCGACGGATATTAACAAAAAAAGTAGATGCCATATAGCCAATGATGAAAAGTGCCGTCAGCTGGGCTCAGTAGCGGTGAAAGCGATTGTGTGATGCTAATTGAAGAGAAAAGTTTTTTTAAATAATTTTAGACGTTTTGATTTTTTTTTCATGAATTAAAGACGTCAGATAATATATCAACTGGGCCGTAGCGGGGGTATTACAAATCAGCTGGGCATATGAACTGGTAATGAAAATAAAGGAAATAAAATTATTTTAAATCGATTGAAAATTTTTCACCTGATTTTGGATATGTATATAAATATGGAAATGACAATCAGCCGAATTTATAACGGAGGAAAGACCGTCCGTCCAAACAAGAGTAATTGCGCTCATATATATCTCTATAATGAGCGGAATTTTCAATGCTCCGACTGACAACTTTTTCCCCAACGAGCAATCAGCTGACGAATATTTTCACATTTCTATTTATGAATACTATAACGTTTATAAATTTCAAACGGCCTTTCAATAATCTACCGAGGGTAATTATTATATAAAGTCTCCACTGCAAAGGTATTATATACCTGCAGTACTGCAGAATACGCAGCAGGCACAAAAAACATCTAATATGGAGAAGACCGAATGGCTGGTGACTCACGAGGTACATAGATTAGTCGTTGACAAAATGTGCAGTTTCATTTCTTTTTTTAACTTTTCTTCATTTACTCTTTGCTGAAGCCGTCGCTAATCGTGATCCCACCAAATCAACACAGATAGACGTATACTTTTGAAAGTAGATTATTGAAGACCTTTTCATAAAAATTAACAGTGTCACAATGAATAGGGAAACAATTGTAAAACGTTATACCGGAGTGCTAGTGTCTGATCTCGATGTTTTGGAAGATGATATTTTGAACCGAGTGGTAATAATTTTGGAACAATGCATTCGTAATAACCAGGCTAAACCAGAGATTAGTAGAATCTACTAATCTCTGCCTAGACGATTGCCCGATGATTGAAGTATTGACTTCTTGATAAGAGGAGAATGCGAAGTTCCATAAAAACTAATCAATTTTACTTACGACATACGACAAAAGTTAGTGAAAATGTTGCGAGAACCGCAAAATCTTTTTCCGGAGATTTGATCTGCACTGGACTAATGGCAATATCAAAAGCTAAATCGCCCCTCTAACCGTGAGCTGACTCTTTTTTAAATATTATCTGACGTCTTTGTTGCTTGGAAAAAATCAAGATCTTTTTTTTTTTACATGCTCCATGTGGTGCCACAGAATAGATAAAAATCTAGCGATATAAAAACAGTATTTAAAATAGACCCCTGCCTCCCGGACTAATAGCTCATATAATTCAGTATACTATTACGAATGGAAAGCAACTTGAGTAGGATCGAAAGGACCCGTAAATGGCGAACCTTCTGCTGCCCATGCTTTTCTCAATAATTCCTGCTTTGCCAGTTCGTCCGAAGTGGGCAAGCCCAATCTAAAACAATAAGTAAACCCCTTTTTCAATATCCTGCAAGTAGTCAATCAACCGCGGTTATTTATCAATTTTGTTTATTTTTATTCATTTAACTCACCGTTTCCTTTCCTGGTTCCAACCAAGTTCTTCGATTTTGGCTTGAGCATCTTCAGGCAAATCTTCAAATGGCCGTGAACAATCCAGGGTGGACAAGTCCAAGCTGAAAAAAATATCTAAGCAAACTGAGTGCTAATGAATTTTTTGTGGTGTTGTTACCGATCCTCAGACAAAATTAAACAATTCCACCATTCCTCCAGACATTTATCCAAGTGAATTTGAAGTTTTTGCCTATCCAGCGACCAAATAGCTTCATTGTACTTGCATTTCTTGTATAACTCACCTAACATTTAATTTAAAACATTTTGAAATAGATACAGATTTTCGTTGCGTTAAACACTGGACACATGGATCAACAATGTCTTACTAGAAAGCTGACACTACAGAGTTAGACTACAAATTTAAAAAATTTGGCAAAGCTGTCTTTCAAATTAACACATTTATTTATAACTTAGTCGGTAAAGGTTTTGGAAAACACTCAGACCAATTTGAGAGCTCTTCTCTTCTTTATAGAGGGTTTTTTTGAAAAACATTGGGTTTGTAGTTTTATGGATTATTTGGGTCATTTCTGGTCATTTTATAGGTCACTTTAACAAAGGCTTTTTAAACAGCCCTGTAGGATCTTTTACGAGAAAGCGTAGCAAACTAGGTTTATTAATTCTAATTGTTAAGGCGCTTTCTCAAAAATCATAATCAGCGTTTTCCCAAAAAATTAATCGGCTAAGTCTTAAATGAGTTTTTTTTTTAATCGTAAACTCACTATCAGTATGCATTAAAAGCAATAACCTGCTGTCTGCCACCTACCTTGCAATAAGGCAATATCTTTCATCTTCACCTCAATTTTATTTGAAAATATAGAAACTTTAAGATTTTTGGAAGTTGCATTCTCTGGCACCTTTAGAGTTATATCCAGATCTTTAATTGTCTGCGACCAACAGTAGTGTTCAAACGCTGAACCATTATAGCTCTCAGATTGGGTAAACTTTAGGTTTAATTCGTTTTTGCTAAGCATCCCTGGCTGTAGCAGAGCCGGATTATCTGAATATTAATAGGGTAAATATACGTACGTAAATTTTCCTTAAACAATAGTTATACCCAAATTGAGGTGTCCAAAATCCATAGTTATTTCTTCAGCCTGGTCTTCCGATATAACAATTTCTTCTACAACTGCCTCCGGAATTTCACTTTCATCGTAAATTATCGGCTTTTCAATCTGCTTGCGAATCCATTTGAAATAAGCATGTTTTACCAAATGTTCTGCTAATCCTTTTGGAAGTCCTACTGGCGATTTCGGCTCTGGTGCTTCATGATAAAAGTCTGTTCTAAAATGCAATTAGTTAAACCAGCTTTTTTAAACTGCATCACTTGAATTGTTTATTGAATACAATCGTTTTAACACGAATGAACAAACAAAAACTGTATGATTGTTTCTGAGAAACTGATAAACAAAAATGTTATTTACCTTCTATGGAGAAAACCAAATATATGATCTAAAAATACGGGCAGAGTTTTGCAGTCTTTGAGAATGCTGAACAATGCATCGTCATGAACAGTGCC